TATTTATTATTTTTTATACCATTAACTATTTGTGTTGTTGCAGCTAAAGGTTAGAAAAGGTGTTTTATTCATAATTATGGTTAGTAATTTAAGGACAAAAAATTTGTTCAAACATAGAATATCTCTTTCTGATTTATCTTTTAATTCGTTCCAGGTCTCCAACATAATCCAGGATATCTTCTATTCTTCTATTAAGGCTAAATATACTATTTATGTACAATTTAAAGAGGATCGTTGACTTTTACGGCTTGGGATCTATTATTTGAATAGTTTTTAACAAAAGTAAACATTTTTCTATAAGACCAATGGATTCGGGAGTATCCAGTTGTTGATGGCCTGTCAAAGGCCTTCGCAAAATCAATGAAAATACATAGACAAGGGTTTCCCTTTTTAACACGCGGGGTGAGCTAATGCTGCATCTTCAGTAAACATGTTTTCTTTAAAACCACATTGCCTAATTGAAATTTGATCATGTTTGTCTATGTATGATAACAACCGTTTTTTTTTGCATTTTTTCGAAAATATTTGACAGGACACTACTTTGATAGTTTCGATATCTGTACATTTTGACCTACATATTTCGATTTCAAATGGGTTTTTTTAAACTTTGATTATTTATTATTTTAGGTTACTTTACATTATCAGTACCCAACTTTAACAATTCTTAGAATTTTTGGTTTGATATGGTTTTGGTGTGTATCAGTAAAAAATCGTCGAAAGTGTTTTGGTTACTGCACATTAGTAATATTGCTCATTATTTTCTTCAGTTAAAGGATTTGTACTTTGGAGATCAGTTAGTCGTTGGCGCATTTTGTGTATAGTGTTTTTTCTTCGTTGGAATAAACATTCAAGCCTATAGTACCTACTGGACATGTCACAAATACATAAGGACACCTCGTAGATTTTAGTATCCTGAAAAAATTACGGTACTAAGGCTGAGTGCAGCATAGCGGATTTTTGCCTTCATTTATTAGATACTGGTTTTGTCAGTAGAATTTTCTGTATATAACGTTTATATAATCTTTTAATAATAGATTAATAATTGCATGTTAAGGCGAGATATTAGGCCCAATCCAGTTTTTTATACTCTATCGAGAGCGTAATCGTGCACGACAAGTATCTTTATTCATCGCGTTCCCATGGTATCGACATATAATGATAACCGAAATGTGATACTGTTTCATTTAATAAATGTAGGAAAAGCGGTTTTATAGGTTTGATTCCCTTTGACTGATCCGCAAAAGGTTGTCCTATTAGCGCCCATTTCAATTTAATACGTTATATTTATTACCTACACTTTACAACTGTAGGCAAGCTATTATTAATACCCTTTAAATGAAATAATATAGTTGAAACAATTCATCTTTAATATATACAAGATGTTTTGATTTATAAGTGCAGTATTGCTACATCTGTTTATATTGTAATTATTAATCTTTGCATTTTTGGCGCATGTTTGACATATCTATATTTGTTTACTTTTGTACGTGTTCTTCTCTTTATTTTGTTTCATTACTACAACAATAATAGCACAACAATCAGCTACCGTTATTTCTCCGTTATTTCTTCTTCATTTAAAGCAGTTCAAATGTTTCAAAATTATGATTGTTTTGATTTTAATCAGAACACGAATGCGTATGAACAAGCACCAAAGGCAAATGGTTTTTTATATTTTTCACCAAATTAAAAAAACAACCTAGTAGCTCGGCATTTGGAAACTCTTCTTTGAAGACGTTTATGGCACCCAGTTCAAAATCGTATGAAATCTTCTCCGGATTTGCAGCTCAAAATCTGTAAATACAGGGTTTTTCTAAATTCAGGAGGTGATTGCTCGTATGAAAATAAGATGGGTCTTTCCCATAACAAAATTTCCTCAGTCCACGCCTTTCCGAGATATCACCCTTAAAAGGTGGTGGCTAAAATTGAGATTTTTTTTTTCTAAAATTTCAGAAAAACTAGAAACTTGAAATTCTGTAATTTTCGTGCACTCGCAAAGGACTAACCACTGGTATGTTTTCAATATTCCTGTTACATTATAGGGGGGTGAAATTAACAACCCTTACTTTATTTCATATCAAAACTTTTTTTCGTGATGAAATTTTATGAAATAAAATTATAACTTAAAATCCTTGTTTTATTTAAAAAAAAAATTATTTTTAAAATTTTTTCCCAAAACCAATAGCTCCAAAGAAAAAAAAATAAACACCATAATTTATAATTTTTTTAATAAATTGAGTGGAAAACAGTGAAGATGTAAAATTTAATACGGTTCATAATATTGAAAAAATACCTGAGATTAGTTCTTCGCGAGTGCACGAAAATTACAAAATTTAAAGTTTCTAGCTTTATTGAAATCGTAGAAAAAAAATTAAAAGTCAATTTTAGTCACCACCTTTTAAGGGTGATATCTCGAAAAGGGGTGAGCTGAGGAAATTTTGTTATAGGAAAGACCCATCTTAATTGTACACGAGCAATCACCTCCTGAATTTTGTCGCATGAATTTAGAAATACCCTGTATATATATTGTAATGGAAATGAATGATCGACATTTAAGATCAAAAATTAGTTAACTTTTAATCTAACTAGGATCAGGTACCTAAAATGGGATAATGAACTACTTAATATAACATCATGTATCAATATTAATATTTAGGTAATTCATTAAAAATCTTTGGGATAATGGGATAATGAACTACTTTATATAACATTATGTATCAATCGAGGTATCAATATTAACATTTAGGTAATTCATTAAAAATCTTTTTAGGTACCTAATTTTCAGAGATTAATTGTTTATGCCTTTCATAGAAATGAAAACATAAGCCAGCTAATGGTTACATATTTATTATAGCTATCTATCAATGCATACTGCGAATATTTAAGGAACAAGATAAATTACCCAAAAAAATAGACATTTCAAATATTTTTTTGAATAATTTATTACCTACTTAAAAAAAATTACATTTCGCGTCGAAACGGCCCGGCGTCGAATCGGCCGGCGTCGAAATGACCTCGCGTCGAAACGGCCGCGTCGAAACGGCCGCGTCGAAACGGCCGCGTCGAAACGGCCGCGTCGAAACGGCTGCGTCGAAACGTCCCATTCGGTGATTTTTTCGACCTCGAGTTTTCGACGGATTTTTACGTTTTCGGGTCCCCTGAATCCGTTTTGACTACATTCGCGATGATGTCTGTGTGTGTGTGTGTGTGTCTGTATCCACGATAACTCATGAACGGATACAAAGAAAAACACCAAATTTTAAGCTTTATTCCGGCCTGCGGAAGTCCTGTGTTGGACACATCAGATTTTTGATTCATACAAATTTGTCATAGCTCTACTATTTTTGCAATTACTTAATTTGAGCTTTTATGGTTCATGAAAGAACTATTATAAACAGAAATCTTAGTTCCATATAGGTATTGTGCAAATTATTAATAATACAAACATTTTTTTAAGATAAAAATATTTTACAAAATGCCTCAAATAAAAGCTCAGAGATGCTACTTTTACATCTTACACTGTTGCCAAGTCGGACAAAAAGTTTACTATCCTATTATTTATTGTCAAACAGTAGGTACACAAATTAACTTCAATAATTTTATTTTCCCTAACAACTATTGACGTTGTTTTACCCACTCAGCACCCCTATTCACTCCCTTTTAGGTAAAATCAATATATATTTAAAAAAAAATACAAATTTTTATTCAAAAAAATTGTGTCCTTATTATTCATATTCATAAAATATGGAATTTAAGTTTTTTGTTAACAATAACGATACCTACAAATACGCATGGTTGATTTTTCATAATCGAAAAAAAGTTAGAACTGGTTTCATCCTACTATTCTGAGGTGGTAATTTCGAAGTTTTAGCACTAGTATATTGAAGTAACTTACTTTTTATAATGTTTTAACTTAAATTACATCTGTAAAATTATATTTCACTTGTTATTTTTATTCTCGTTTTTATTCATATTATAATAAAATGTGATTTTTGTCCGTTTTTACCCTAACTTTAGCACTATTTCCTTCCACAAAACATAAAAAAATTAATTCATGAACTTGTCAGTTGTTGACACATACGGTCCTTGAGTTTGCAACTTTGCCAAACACTTGAATATAAAATCTAATAATATCTAAGTTGGCGTTTAAAAATTGTTTTGTTCGATAAAATGTAACTGTAAAATACACATTTTGTTTTCAAATTTCTCATTTTATGTATAATTTTGCGAAGCAATTAAAGATGTCTCCAGATCGCACAGGTTAGGTAAATTAGTTAAAATTTGTTTCATTCTTTTATATATATTTTATTACGAAGCAACCCGTGGTGACTTCAGGCCGCACAGGTTAGGTAAATTAGTTAATATTTGTTTAATTTTTCTTATTTTATGTATTTTTTTTACAAAGCAGCCCGTGGAGATTCCAGGCCGCACATGTTAGGTAAATTAGCTAAAAATATTTTAATTTTTCTTATGTTATGTATATTTTATTGCGAAGCAACCCGTGGTGACTACAGGCCGCACAGGTTAGGTAAATTAGTTATAGTTTACTTTTTCTTATTTTATGTATATTTTATTGCGAAGCAACCCGTGGCGATTCCAGGCCTCACGAGAAGTCGTTGCTTCGTCTTCTTGTTTTTTATAATCTCGTAATTTATACATTTTAAATAATCCAGAAACTGATAATTTCATAAACAAATTAGCAACATTGTAATTTTAAAGACCGAATATGTCATATAGAGTAAATGTTTTGTGAATATCACCTGTAAAATTAAGGTTTTTAATTAGATATTTCTCGAAAAATACTGTTTTTTACAGAAATTTTTTTAAGAAAATATACTATAGAAACTAGTTACTTTTGTGTTTAATTTTTTTTTTTTTTTGGAAAATTCGCACCTCAGGATCCCTCGACACACGGTTAAATTTACCAAAATTTAAAAAATCTTATTATAATGAGCTACCTATTACATACAAAATAATACAAGATATAGGTAATAATGACTTACTAAACATTTACGATACAGCCCTTAGCCATCATCATATAAAAGTCCCGAAAAAACCGGTTCTAGTAATCACCCAAAAGCCACAAAAATTCGTTCACTTGTACCAAACACAAACATGAAATATGAAGAAAATAAGCACCTGCACCTGCCTGTCCGTGTTTCGGTCCAATTTCCGTTCCGTCGAAACCGCTCTTAAGACTATTTTAAAAGTTTCGAGCATCCGCTCTTGAGACCTGCCACCGGCACGTCGGCTTAACCCTCCAGGCGCAGTAGGCCATGCGTATTGAGCCGAGAAAACAAAAGCGAAACTCGGAATTGCCGTTGGCACCGCCCCCGCTGCACGGCCGACCTTGATTTAGGTGATTTCAGACTCATTGATGGTGCGTAAAGTTCCGATTAAAAATAATAAAATGTGTTAGGATTATGGAAGCAGTAGGGAAGCAGTAGGGAATAGTAGGAATACGGATATAAAGAGGAATATAAGGTCTGTTTGTTAAATATTAAAAAGTATAATACTTCTAATAATTGTCAAAGAAAGATTTATACAAAAAAAAAATGTGCTAACACAGATTGCGATTATCTCTCCCCAACAGATCCGGATTCAAAAATGTTTATTCAAATGATTTTTGCGATATTAATATCAAAATTTTTTATATCTATTTTATATTATAATATACATAAATAATTATTTAGTAACAGAAATATTTAAAATCAATATTTTCATTTTATTCACTTTCAATATTAACTTGGTTGTTCATCTTTATTATTTTCCTCTTTTACGCATTTACGGTTTTCTCTTGCTATTCTTCACTTTTAGTGGAGCACCTGGGGCGTAAAACACATGGAACCCTCGAACTTCAGCTGCAGTGAATGAAATTTAAAAACTCAAAATAGAAAATTTTGCTGCTAATATAAAGAAGTTTACCAATTTAAAAATTGTGATCTAGAATAAAAAAAAATAAAATTGCAATAATTCACATAGTATATTCAGTAAATAATAGGTAAATGAAGAAAGAAAATTGCTAATAAAATGTTTTGTCCACGACCACTTAATAATAAATCAATATTCTACCTCCTAACTAAGAGCATATAGTACCCATATATCACGGAGTGAATTATGATAATTCACGCTTTTGTAATTCTGGCACATTCCGATAGATAACTAAAGATAGGCGATACTTTTCATAACGATATTTTCTAGATCGAAAAATCGAAAAATCGAAAAGTCGAAAAATCGAAAAATCGAAAAATCGAAAAATCGAAAAATCGAAAAATCGAAAAATCGAAAAATCGAAAAATCGAAAAATCGAAAAATCGAAAAATCGAAAAATCGAAAAATCGAAAAATCGAAAAATCGAAAAATCGAAAAATCGAAAAATCGAAAAATCGAAAAATCGAAAAATCGAAAAATCGAAAAATCGAAAAATCGAAAAATCGAAAAATCGAAAAATCGAAAAATCGAAAAATCGAAAAATCGAAAAATCGAAAAATCGAAAAATCGAAAAATCGAAAAATCGAAAAATCGAAAAATCGAAAAATCGAAAAATCGAAAAATCGAAAAATCGAAAAATCGAAAAATCGAAAAATCGAAAAATCGAAAAATCGAAAAATCGAAAAATCGAAAAATCGAAAAATCGAAAAATCGAAAAATCGAAAAATCGAAAAAAAAATCGAAAAATCGAAAAATCGAAAAATCGAAAAATCGAAAAATCGAAAAATCGAAAAATCGAAAAATCGAAAAATCGAAAAATCAAAAAATCGAAAAATCGAAAAATCGAAAAATCGAAAAATCGAAAAATCGAAAAAAAATTTGAAAAATCGAAAAAAAATCGAAAAATCGAAAAATCGAAAAAAAAAATCGAAAAATCGAAAAAAAAATCAAAAAATCGAAAAAAAAATCAAAAAATCGAAAAAAAAAAAAAAATCGAATAAATCGGAAAAAAATCGAAAAATAAAAAAAAACCGAAAAATCGAAAAAATCGAAAAATCGAAAAATCGAAAAAAAATCGAAAAATCGAAAAAAAATCGAAAAATCGAAAAATCGAAAAATCGAAAAATCGAAAAATCGAAAAATCGAAAAATCGAAAAATCGAAAAATCGAAAAATCGAAAAATCAAAAAATCGAAAAATCGAAAAATCGAAAAATCGAAAAATCGAAAAATCGAAAAATCGAAAAATCGAAAAATCGAAAAATCAAAAAATCGAAAAATCGAAAAATCGAAAAATCGAAAAATCGAAAAATCGAAAAATCGAAAAATCGAAAAATCGAAAAATCGAAAAATCGAAAAATCGAAAAATCGAAAAATCGAAAAATCGAAAAATCGAAAAATCGAAAAATCGAAAAATCGAAAAATCGAAAAATCGAAAAATCGAAAAATCGAAAAATCGAAAAATCGAAAAATCGAAAAATCAAAAAATCAAAAAATCGAAAAATCGAAAAATCGAAAAATCGAAAAATCGAAAAATCGAAAAATCGAAAAATCGAAAAATCGAAAAATCGAAAAATCGAAAAATCGAAAAATCGAAAAATTGAAAAATCGAAAAATCGAAAAATCGAAAAATCGAAAAATCGAAAAATCGAAAAATCGAAAAAAAATCGTAAAATCGAAAAATCGAAAAATCGAAAAATCGAAAAAAAACGAAAAATCGAAAAGTCGAAAAAACAACAGTTAGTTACCTATGTTTAATAAAAACTTTCCATTCACACTTAACTTTTATTTAATAAAGAAACCATAATGGTCGTGGACAAAGTATAGTATTAGACTCACAATTTATGGCCATTATTCACTCGGGTGACTAATGGCTACCATAAATTGCTCGTTTAATAATATACTATTATTTAAATAATTTACATTTTTATACATATTAAATATTTTCTTCTTCTTAATTTTTTTGAATAGGTGGAATATTAAAACAACTATTTTCGCTACACTGTGAATATGCTGCACTACAGTATAAGCCACTTTTCCGAGATCCCTTTTTACCATTACAAAATAACATTTGCAATAGATTATCCAGAAATGGTAATTGATTGATTGTTACTGGAATGAACATGTTATTAAATGAATATAAAAAAAAAACAAAGAAAGAACATACACAGGACATGTAAAGTACAATAGACCGTTAGATAGTGACAGATTCAGGTGCCCCATTTTCGGATACAAGCCTCGAGGAGTGTTGAAAAGTACATCGATTTTGAATAGAATGAAAGGAAATTTACGAGTAGCTCCTGAACTAACAACAATTAAATGTGTTTTTTGTCAATATTGTTGTGTGAACGCCTGAGTCGACTCTGTTCTTCGATCTTTAGCGCCACGTTGTGTCTGGCACCTGACTCATAATCGAAACATTTCTGGAATTATCTAAGTATGCAGATGAAGCGTAGAGGAAGCACTTCACGAACGCTTCGAGATTTTCTAGACGGTCGAGAATATACTGGTGCAGAGCTAGCTTTGTACAAATAGCGCGAATTTGTCTGTTTTTAATTGAAATTTTGCATAGAAAAGATAAATTGTAATAAATGAATTTAAATTGTGAGTTGTAATAGTGCCTAAGTTTTAAATAAATTAATTAGTACGTTATAAATAAATTATAAATAAACTGAAATATCGACTTAAAAAGCGCTATAAAATGAAGGTTTGGATATGAAAACGTATCTATTTTCAGATGATGCATCTGTTATAATTTCTTCTTTGGAAAGTAAAATGTCTTTTATGAAAACTGTATTTCTTCTAACATTTCTTCACTAGAAAATAAAGTTTCTTCAGGTGTTTCTTCTATAAGAAATTACATTTCCTCCTTCTGACATATCTTCTTTAGAAACCGAAATTTCTTCCGACTTGGCCAATAAAATGTATTCTCTAAAAAATGTAATCTCTGTTGATATGGAAAACAAGATATCTTCTATAGAGGAGAAAATAAAATAGATGAAAAAGATGATGAACTAGAATATACAAAACAGGCCAGGTAAAATAAAGTGCCAGGAGCTGTAAACTCTGCTCGTGTTAAAATCCCAACTTTCGACGGAAAGATACGAAAAGATACAGTTCGAAACAGCCGCGAGAGCGAACAAATGATCTGAAAAGAAAAAGCTGTAAAGTTGACCGTCGGTCTTCGAGGAGATGCTTTAGATGTCCTTCAGACTATACCTGTGGAAGAGATCGATGACTTTAAACAACTTAAAAACAACGCAAACAGAAACGAGACGAGACCCTTTAAGAATATGAAGTAGATATTGCCAGGTTGGTGCGATTTGCCTACCCATCAGCTCCGGAAAACATGATGGAATGTTTGGCAGTCCAAACATTTGTTGATGACCACGTGACCACGAGATGCAGAAAAACATTAGTCGATGTCTTGTCCACTGATTTAGAGTATGAGGCAGCCATACATGCTTCTGGTGGATACAGTAGAGTGAAGACTGTAAAATAGAAACAAGAAAAAGATAAGCTCAACCAATTGGTTAACATTATGAAGAGCCTTACTAATAAAAAAATTAAGACAAAGACCATCAAGTGCTGGAATTGCTGTGAACTGGGACATGTACGGAGTTCGTGCAAACGCCTTAGGGTCCCAACAACCTAGAGGTGGGCAGCTTCGACCCGAAACCGTTCCAAAGACCCTCTCATACTGATAGCCCCTTTAAAATGTCGCGATGATACTGTATACGTAGACGGCGAAGTAAATAGTAAAAAGTATACACTGTGAATACTGGAGCAACTACCATCAACCATAAATAACCGTTAGAGACTTCTACCAACAAGATTGCGACTGCGGACTGCTACAGGTGACAGTGTCAACATAAATGGGGAAATCCAGGTTCAATTAGGAATTGGTACAGACAAATTCACTAATACTGTTATTTTCGTTGATATCGAACAAGATGTTATGCTTTAAATGGACGTAGTGAACTAACATGGCTTCCAGTTAGACCATAAAAACAGAGTAATTAAAGTTTGTGCCGAAGAGGTATTTCTACATCCATGTGGGAACAGTACCGTTCCAGTAGCTGTACAGGAAGACACGGAGGTACCTGGTAGAAGTGAAATCATTATAGTAGCACGGCTTCAAGAAACTATGGAAGAAGAAACACCTGTCATGATTGAACCTTGAAACCACGATGAAGAGACTGGACGAGAAAGGATTGTTCGGGAAATGGAGAAAGAGAGGGTGATATAACCCTACATTAGTTAGGCAATACATTATAGTTTCTACTATTATTTTATACCATCTTGTTAGATAGTAGGCTTTGTACAATTTTTGTAAAATGTCAA